AAACCCTAAATAATAACAGAAGAATGTATACATCTCAACATGTTATTTTTTTTTACCTTTGCATAATAATAATATCAAAAGAAAAGTAAATGATTGGTTAGTGAATGCCAACTTTAAACGGTTACTATTATGCACATTCTACATTTTTTAATCCTTCAATACGTGAAAATATGTCACAAGGTAAGTAGGTAACGGCAATTCAGGCGCTTATAAACACGTGCAGGGGATCCAGGAGAGAAAACCTGTTCAAAGATTTGTCTGAAAGATTAGCTGTCTCAACTCAAGTGAGGTCCCTAAGCAGAAAACTTCACGAGTTTTGTCTTTGTCTTTGGTACCTCCATCCTTTTTGTGGGCACTTAGTCCTTTACAACTGTCTGCCATTTTCACTCTTTAACAAAGCTTTGTAAAACAATGGTGGTAGAGAGAGAATACAATACTTGGAAGGGTAAATTAGCTTGGTCGAGGTTAGAGAGCAGACTTACAGAGTTAAGTGGTCATTCCTTCTTTTGGGTCCAAAGCCTAAGAGACTTGCCGAGAGAGCCAGATGCAATCAACTTCTCGGTTGGGTGGCATGCCGACGACATGACGGTGTTCGCGTGTGTGACCTTCCATTCTCTGAATCAGTTTCCGGGAATTCAGCTCCCACATATAGATGCAGTTGTCCTCCGAACCACTAACAATGTACTCCCCGTCTGTGATCGAGAATGCAGAGGAGATGCAGAACTTTGAGTTCGTATGGCCTGTGTATGTTTTGATGAACTTTGAAGTAGAAAGGTTCCATAATCTCTGTGATAAATAACATTGCGTACAGATCAGTATATGGCAATGAAACCGAGGAATTAACAAGTCAAGGTGATTGATTGGTGGGCTTTGTATACTGAACACCGAGAAATGTCTCCGATAAACCAAAGTTTAACACTACTAGGACATGGAAATGCGCAGAATTGTTGGATGTAACCAATAATTTGTCTCCTCTAATCATCTTACCGATAACATAAATCAGCAACAGGCAAGAAACTTTCAAGAACCACAGTGAAGTTACTTCTCCTTTCCGCGATCCAACATCCAATGTTACACAACACTTCAGTTGTCATTTGCACTGGATTCTCCTATCATAAGTTAACTAAGATTTCCACAAGTATGAAGCCTAAGACATATAACCTAATATTCGAGGATCGATAGAGACTAGAACCCATTGTCACATTGCAAAATTAAGACTTTAAACCAATGCATTGAAAATAAGGGATGAACCAAAACAAACTCACCAGAGTATTGTCCAGGGTGCCGACAAGAATAAATTTGCCGTTCGGGGAGAACCTGGCGAAGGAGACAGGCGGATTCTCATCGTCAATTAGTGTCTTCAAACAATGCCCAGTTCCTGCACCCCAAATACGGCACAGCCCGTCGTAGCTGCTTGACATAACAAGAGATCCGTCGCGATTGAAATCGATGGCGGTGACGGGATCGGAGTGCGCGGGAAGAACCTTCAAGCATTTCCCAGTTTTAACACCCCAAATCCGGACGGTCTCATCGAAGGAGCAAGAGACGATCATGTTGGTCTGAGGATTGAAGTTGACGCAGAAGGCATAGTTGGTGTGCCCCTCCAGCGTCTTGATCAGTGAGCCTGTTTCGACGTCCCACAACTATAGGGTTTTGCCATCGGAGGCTGAGACAATGAACCGCAAGTCCCACGAGAAGGCGACGTCGGAGATGCCGTTTTCGTGACCGGTGAACTTCATGACGGGCTCGGCGATGGAGTCACCGGAGAAATTGATTGTGTAAGTGCTGATGATTTTTTCGGTGGAGGCGGAAGCGAGGAGGCGGTCGTCGAAGGAGAATTTCAAGGAGGAGACAGCGCGGTCGTGGCAGGTTAGGGTTTGAGAGTGGACGTAAGGCGTGGAGGATGGAATCAATGGATCGGATCTTCTTCCGCCATGGGTGGCAAGAAAAACTTGTTCTTGCCCAAAATTCAACGAAAATTTATGAGAATTGCATTGTGAGATGGGAACTAGGCGGAGGGCTTTGAAAGGGGTTCAGGCCGAAGGAGAGGAGCTCGACGACTAACGATAAAAACAACTGTATATTCAGAATTTCTGGAAACTCGGCGGGGGTGTTTTGTGGGGGTGAAATAAAACGATAACAATAATGGGGTATAATTTGAAATAATAACAATAATGGGTTACATTTATAATTTCTGGAAATTAAAAACTAATGATTTATTTCCGGCTTCTCTTATCCTTGCCGGCGAATTCTCCTCTCTGAAAATTACTCCACTCGCCGCCGGCGATTCAAGTTGCTAACAATGCAAGCTCCGGCGATATCTCCGGTGATATGGCATCCGCCGCCACGGAGTATCTCCTCTTTCAAGCTCACCATACTGACCCAAAGACATCAGAGAGCTCCCGCACTCTGTTGCTCGAGGTTGATCTCCCAGTTTTTTTTCTTGTTTATAACCTCGTTGGGATTTATTGTTCTGCCGCCTTATCTGAATTCACGATGTCCTTGAAGTTTCATAATTTAATTGTATTGTTAGTCTGAACTGCAACATTTCTCTAGAATCTTGATTCCGCATTACTGATATGTCATAGATTGCCTGGTTTTCTGAAATATTTGTGTAATTTAGGGTTAACTCTGCAGACAACTCATTTATATCAGTTACGTTTATATTCCTCTTTACCATGTGAAGTTCATCCATTGTCTTGGGACCAAACTAATTTCCTTGCTACGCTGTTAAATGTTCGTTGGGTGTGGTGAAATCAATGGCTTGTTTTAGATCAAACCCCACTCTAGAGTGAATCTTTTTTTCCATTATCTGATCTTCAGTAGAAAATTTTCAAGTATGCATGTTTTCTCTTTGATTGGAATGTACACTTGTTTTTTTATATGCCAGACCAGAAGGGCAGAATGACTTAGAGAATCCTCAGGTATTTTTCTTTGATGTTTGGTATACTTCCTGCTTCATATAGCACGCTTTGTGAAGATGGACATATTGTTAATTCACAGGAGAATCTTGGGTTATCATCTGTTGTAACTGAAGGAAAACATAATGATATTTGGCGCCTCTTTAGAGAAGCCCAGCAAAGTAATCTCACCAGATTTGCTCCTCTGTTTCATCCAACCTTTTCTTCTCTCATATCATATAGACCACTGGTTATCGTTTAAGATGAAGATGTGCTCTGATTTGTCATCTTTTGGTTTCAGATATCCTTTTTCTGAACAAGCAGCGTCTAGCTGCAGTTGAGGAGCTTGGCAATCTAAAGAGGGAGAAAGATGAATTGGTAGATAGAATAGTTCAATTGGAGGAAGAAAATCAGAATGTTATCGGGAAAGGTGTTTATTTTTGTACAAGTTGGTTTAAATGATTCATATGTTTTCAGGTAAATTACTAACATTTTGTTTGAAACTGATTTCGGTTTGAAGTTTTGTTCTTTGCTATGTATTGAGCAGATAAACTTTCTCTATTGTGGGAGTTGCTTCTTCGTATAGATTCTATGGTGCTAAATGGATTACTTAACACTGAAGAAGCCTCATCTATGAGAACACTGGTCAGGGAGCACAGACTGGGCATCTCTGAGGTTTCCCCTGACATTTTGCAAAAAGGAGATTCCGAGATTTTAGCAGAACTCAGACTGTTCTCAGATAGGCTCAAAAGGTGACAACTTTTGTTGTACTCCTTTTAGATTCAATATATTCATAAATGTCGTTTCTCTCTGTTCTGCTTCTACTCTTATTCTCATTCTACTTCCAATTTACATTTCCTTTTCCCGTTTACCTTGTTCTTCCCAGTAATGGTTTCCACATCATTCATATCTGCTCTGAAATGGCTCCATTAGTTTCTGTGGGACCTTTGGCCTCGTATGTGACAGGACTATCTCGTGCACTCCAAGGAAAGGGCCACTTGGTTGAGGTTATATTACCAAAGTACGAATTGACCCCTCTGGACAGCTGTTTCATCTTGAGTTTTTTTTTTCTCAACGTTAGTAAACAGCTGCTAACCTAGTGTTAATTCATAGGTATGCTACCCTTGAGTTGGACGAAATTCAAGGACTCCGAGAAGTTGAAGCTGATCTGTATTCTTATTTTAATGGTCAGCTGCATGCCAACAGAATATGGAATGGGTGAGTTGAGTGTTTTGGTATTGTAAATATGATGTACGCTTGGTTGAGATTTTCTTTCATCATTGGTTGAATGTGTGGCAAAGAAATGGCAAGCATGTCATATTCTTCCACAGCAGGCAAGCAGCCACTTTCGTATGCACTTATTATAAAAGGTTGTTTACGCAGAGTTGTCTGTGGAATAGGAGTGACGCTTGTTCAACCATTGTATTACTCGTCATTTTTCAGCCGTGATAAAGTATATGGCTATTCGGATGACTTTGACAGGTAAATGATGCTGTGGTTTCTACTTACTCAGTTTTGAACCAGCATGAGAATCTTGTCATTCAGGGGATATAATTAAAGTTTTTTCCAAAACTTGGCTGATAATCGCAATTAACTGCAACAATGTTCAGCATTCTACTCATTACGTTGGTTCAACTTCAATTAAAAATCAATCACTCTCAGGCACCTTGTACAATGCCTTTCTATAAGAATCTATATAAGGTTCAACTATTTTCTGATAACCCTCCCCAGGCCCCTTTTTTTGTATAACGGAAATTTGAGCATGACCTCGTCTTGTTTCATCATTGTTTTGTTCCGGGGTGAGTGTGTTACCTGTTAATGATATCAGATTTGCGTACTTCTCTCGTGCTTCACTGGATTACATAGTAAAATCTGGAAAGCGGCCAGATGTATTACACATTCACAACCGGGAGACTGCAATAGTAGGACCACTTTTTTGGGATATTTTTGTTAATCAGGTAAGCACTTCAAACTTCAGAGTGATGACATTGTAGCCTGTTAACTCTTGTGCCCTATCCATAATTTCCTCGAACTTGTAGGGGCTTGAAGGTTCTAGAATACTCTTTACATGCCAAGGGTTTGACTCAGAGGCAAGCCGCAAGCTGCTTTCCTTTTTCCTTTATGCCTTACATTCTATATTTGCAAGACAGATCAGAACTTATGTAATGTTTTATGTTGTAGTATCTTGTCCCTCCTGACAAGTTGGCGCTATGTGGTCTTGATCCAGCTGGACTTCACCGTCTTGATCGCTTGCAAGATAATATTAAGCCACAGTTTGTTAATGTTTTGAAGGTAAATAGGCATGAGAAATATATCTCTATGGTGAACATGTTTAGAAAAGCCAAGTTTCTTTGATGTTCACAATATGGGGGATTATATCTTCATTCTGTTTTTTTAGGATCTTCATACAGTCCGTATAGTTTTTTGTGTAATTGAATATATATATCTGTTCAACATCTTTTTCCAGTACCCTTACATCTCCTTGTCAGGGTGGTATTGTGTACTCCAACAAAGTTGTCACTATGCCATCCTCACATTCTAAGGGAAGGATAATTCATAGTTATCTGTTCAACATCTTTTTCCAGTACCCTTACATCTCCTTGTCAGGGTGGTATTGTCTACTCCAACAAAGTTGTCACTATGCCATCCTCACATTCTAAGGGAAGGATAATTCATAGTTCGAGTCATGGGCTTGAACCCGCTTTAGCTGTTCACAAGTAAGTTAATGACCTTCCAGTTACCGTAATATATCAAGGATTCAAGGCCATTGTGCTTCTTTGATCTTATGATTCTTACCCTATTCCTTGGAATCTAGGGAGAAATTGCTTCTTGCTCCTTCTTTTGGGTTGGACAGCACAACATGGGATCCTTCAAAAGATGAATTTCTTCCTGAAAAGTATAGTGTTGAGGACATCAGGGGCAAATCGATCTGTAAGGTTGAATTGCAGCACCAACTGGGTTTAGTGGAGCATATTTCGACCACCGTTGTATGTTTTTCTCACCTGTTTTTTTTTTTTTGGTTGTGGTATCAAAAGAGTAATGGCAACCACAGGTTGTCTCTGAAAGTTTGATTTTCTGTTCCTTAAGGTTGGATGCATCTTTACTGAAATATCAGATGTTGATCTTGAGAGCTTAAAGGCAATTGTGCGGGGTTCAATTATGACAGGCATCCAGGTTTATGATCAATTTCTTACTGAATTTGACCACTGTTGTTGATAGTTGGAGGAGCTTATACATATTTGCAAGATCTGACTGAATATTACCTGAAGAAACTGAAATATTTTTTTTCTTTTTCCCCAGTTTATTTTGATGGGAATGAATGAAGATCAGACGACAATTGGGGAGCTGGAGAAATTGCAGGAAGAATTTGAGGTGAGACTATAATCTAACCTATTGTATCTTTTGTATAGCATCGTCTGTTTCCATTTGAAACGTGGAAAGCGATGTTTAAGACATGAATCCCACGCCCGCCCCAAACACGGGCATTTCTTAAAGTCTGCAGATAAACCAACGAAGACACTAGTCCCTGTCATCTTTCAGATGAGCTTACACAAGAATGCAAAAGTGTATTTTGAATCCTGTTATAAATGCTTCCTAATTGAAGTTGGATTTTAAAGAATCAAAGTCTGATTTGATTCTCTTTTCTCTATTCCTTGTATAGATCATTTTTCTTCTCATCGCTAAGAAAAGTGATCCATATGTTTTGCATTTCTTTTCTCAGGATGGAGGGAATCTCATGTTTGTGCGAGGACACGATGAAACTCTTCTGCATCTGATTTTTGCAGGATCTGACATTATGTTGTGCCAGTCCTTGCACGATCCCATTCTTCAGGTCCCTGTAAGTTCAACACACTATGCTCGGCCACAACAGATTTGTATCTCTCTCTACTTTCGCAAATAGCTCTCTTGTTTCTGTTTTTTTACAACGCAGTTCAAGGCTTTAAGATACGGAACAGTACCAATTGCTCTTAAAACTAACAGCAGTGATGCCTTCGGGTAAGCATACATTGTAAGAGATGGTGTGGAATAACCGGATTTTGGCAAGAGAGTTAACCAGTGACCAAAAATGTTGTTCCAGGCATTTAGGAGCTCATGAACAAGAGACCACAGGACTTGCAGGGTTCATCAACTCCACCTTTGGAGACATGTCCTTAAGCCAAGCCTTGGACCACATAGTGAGTATATCACCTTATAAAAAACACCGTTTATCTCCGTCACGCCTAACGTAGAAACACAATCAATGAGCCTTGAATCATTGGGGATTATCCATCCTTTCCATAGAGAGTTCAGACCCATGTATGGGCTATTGCGTTGGATTTATACGGTATATGCAGTTCTACAGGTGATGGCGTAGATGGGGAGTGAGGCATTATAGATGTAATTTTTGGGAATGGGATTTTGGTGGTGAAACCGTTTGGATAATGCGGGAGAGTGTTTGGGTTTGTGCAGAGGAACAAACCGACCACGTGGAAGAGGAAGATAATGGAAGCAATGGGGAAGGATTTCTCATGGGACGGGGAATGTTGTGATATTCACATCTCCGCTTATGCTTCGATCAAGAGCTTGTGAACAAGAATATCTCCACAGTCGTACATGATTCTGCGCGTGTGTGTGTGTATATACATGCACAGATTCCATGTATTTTGTCTGTCCTAATGAAGATAGATTATGGTTAGATTGCATAACTAGATTCTGATAACCAAGAAAGGACACTGCAGTCTAAACAAGCTCATCCATCTCATTTGATAATTAGCGACACTAAACGACTGCTGCATGTGAAAAGTGAAGATTAATTAACCACATAAACCTCGATCCTCAACCGAAGCTCGAGAATCAAGCATGGGGACTTACCACACCGACTCCATACAAGGATTCCCTCGAATCACAAGAGAACTTTGGTGAAACAAAAATCAGAGGGCCAGACAAAGGCTTCCTCATCCGTATACTGTCAAATTATTCTTTCCTTCTTCTGGTGATGTATTTTGTCCACCACACACGCACAAGAAAGAAGGGGTGAAAAATAAATACTAGTTTAAATCAATATTTGTCGTTGGCTTGAAATGAATGAACCGTTCATCATTGCCCTTTTTGAGCTTAGAAGTTGGGACCAGCAGCGAGAATCTGGTCGGTCAACTTCCCATCCTCACCAATCCTGTGGCTCGTGAAAGTCTCGAAGTTCTTCCTGAACAGACCGCCCAGTTTCAGCAGTGTCTCCTTGTAAGCCGCCTTGTCCGACCACTGCCACACCAACCCCGTAGTTAGCACTTTACGTTCTCAATGTATAAACCCTTCAATGTCTTTTCTCATTCCTGAAAACTGGTCGGATTCGTAGGGAATTCGAAGAAGGGTATTCGTCAACTTACAGCGTTGATAGGATCCAGAATCTCAGACGGCACTCCTTCAACCTCTGTCGGGATCTCCAGTCCGAAGATCTCTGTCGTTTTGTATTTTGCATTAAGAAGACTGCCCGAATGAATGGCGTCGATTATCTTCCTGGTGTATGCTAACTTGATACGGCTTCCGGAGCCATAGCTGCAACAACCAGAAACCAAGAATTTCTTTCCTTTTTGTTTTTGTCTTGTCATTTGTTAGAGGATGTACTGAGATTCAGGTATAGAGATGGTAACCTGCCACCGGACCAACCGGTGTTGACGAGCCAACCGGTAGCACCGTGCTTCTGCATCTTGTCGGCCAACATGGCAGCATACTTGGTGGGATGAAGCATGATGAATGCAGCACCGAAGCAAGCTGAGAATGTCGCCTGTGGCTCCTTTATCCCCTCTTCTGTTCCCGCAACCTGCACCATCCAACAACAGTTGAAAACACGTGGGTCTGGTCTGGTCTGGTCCGGTCCGGCCTGTGTTTAGAAGATACTTTACCAGAGCGGTGTAGCCACTAATGAAATGGTACATGGTCTGAGCTAGGTTAAGTTTGCTGATTGGCGGCAACACCCCGAAGGCATCGCATGCCAACAGAATCACGTTCTTGGGGTGTGGCCCGACACATGGGATCTTCGAGTTCGGTATGTACTCGATTGGATAAGCCGCACGTGTGTTTTCTGCAACTCAAAAGCATCAATGAAGCTGATATCTTCATAGTACATATGGTCGGAACGCTAGATTATGTTACCAGTGACTGATTTGTCTGTATAATCCACTTCACGGGTATGCTCGTCGAACACCACATTCTCCAGAACTGTTATAACAAAAACATAATAAACCCATCTCGTAAACCCTAAAACGTAGGCATTAAGCTATATATAGTCTGGATAATATTTACCAGTTCCGAACTTGATGGCATTAAAGATCTCAGGTTCTTTCTCTCTGGATAGATCGATACACTTGGCGTAGCAACCACCTTCGATGTTGGAAACACCCGTATCAGTCCAGCAATGCTCGTCGTCTCCGATCAAGTACCTGTTGTTATCCGTCGACAATGTCGTCTTTCCGGTACCTGCAGGTAACAAATTCGATCCATACATATAGATCGATCTCTCAGACAACAACAGAAGGGGCGGTTTGGGATAAAAGGGGGTACCAGAGAGACCGAAGAAGAGGGCGACATCGCCATCTTTGCCCATGTTACAGCCAGAGTGAAGAGACAGAATCTGTCGCTTGGGCATCAAGTAATGCATGACACCGAACAGTCCCTTCTTCATCTCTCCGGCGTACTGAGTTCCGAGAATCACCATCTCTCTTCTGGCGAGATTGATATCAATGCTCGTCGAAGACGTCATGTAATGAGTGTAACGGTTACATGGAAACCTTCCGGCGTTGTAGATCGTGAAATCCGGCGTCCCGAAATCCGCCAGCTCCTCCGGCGTCGGGCGGATACACCTTTTTTCAGACAATAGATATACAGTTAATTGATCTACTGGTTATGTTCCATTATGTATGGAAGAGATGCAAGTGTGTCCGAACTTACATGTTGTGCATGAACAGAGAATGATAAGCTCTTGCGGAGACTATCCTGACTTTGATTTTGTTCTCTGGATCCCAGTTCAAGAACTGGTCGTTCACAAATACCTGGAAATTTCCATCCATTAATTGATCGACTGCTTTGATGCAAAATTTCAAATAAATACACAGATTTCTTACATATTTCTATATTGATAAATAAATTCTAATTTTTTTAAAAAAAACACAAATTCCATTAACACTGACTATTCCATTTGTTTTAGCTAAAAATCCATATCAATACACAAATTTGTTACAAACTACTATATTAGTACACAAATTTTGAAAATTTCTAAAAAATATGTATACGAATTTTTCCCAACCGATGAATTTACAAGTCACTTATTATTTTACATGTAGTTTTTGGAATCTCATAAAATTTCATGTATTTTTTTTATAATTGTTATAAAATTCATGGTTTTAAATGGAATTTGGAAAAACAATTATATTTTTCTGAAAATTTTAAATTTCTGGGTATTATGCTATTATTAATAAATTTAAATATCTATACTAGATCTTTCATTTGAAAATGCAGGAAAAAAAATAACTTGAGAAAAAATAAGGAAAAATGTTAATATTACCTTGTCCAAAGAATTTAAGTAATCCACAGCTCTCTCTCGGTTGACCATGAAGGTCTGTTCATCCATTTCGATGTTTGGTGAACCTCTGTTATATTTCCCCCCAAAAAACTCATTACTTATTCTTTATATATATATATATGCATATATTATATGAAAATGTATATATATAGACTCTGAAGACGAGAGAGAGAGGGGAAAGGAACTGACTTTCCCCACCAAAGCTCAGAGGCGGTAGTGTCATCCTTAACGATACGCTTATCCTTAGGGGAGCGACCAGTTTTGGCTCCGGACAAGGTAGCTAAAGCTCCAGTTGATGTAATGAATGATCCTTTCTCGTACTTTATGGCCTGTTCGTACAGCTCCCCGGGCGATAGGTTATAGAGCACGTGCGTGAATTTCAAGGCACTGTCGCTCACTGCTATTGTCGGCGCCGGCACGTGCGACACCTTCACCGCCGACTCTGATACCCTCTCCGGATCTCCCTTCACCACCATCGGCCCCTTTTCCCTCGTCATCGACGCCAGCGATGCACTGCATGCATGCAGATGGATTCACCAATATATACACATATATACGTGTGTTGGTGTATATATATGATGATGATGTTACCTGACGGATTGGAGCATGGTCTCCTCGGATACGGGGGTGGAGGGCCCACTGGCAGAGGCGGAGGCGCCTTTCAATGGAGTGTTTGGAACAGATTTCTTGGTCTGCAGTCTATGGAGTTCGTCGATTGTCTGAACCCTAACAGAGCTCGTGCTTCCGTCGTGACAGACGTCCTTCTCGTCTCCCCTCGATTTCTCCGTCGTTATCTTCGGCAGTGCCTCACGCGCCGCCGTCGCCTCGCTCGAGAAGCTGAACTCTCCGCCGTTCCCCGCCATCTCTCTCTCTCTCTCTCTGGAATCGATATATATATGTATGTATATACACAAACACACGTACGATCGTCTATATATACACGAAGAAATCTATTTATAGACAGCTCGGAAAATGAGATTACCAGAAAAGGAAAAGGAAAGGATAATATGAACCGTACGTGCCGCGGAGATATGCGGGAATGGACAAATACATATGGTCGGAACGCTAGATTATGTTACCAGTGACTGATTTGTCTGTATAATCCACTTCACGGGTATGCTCGTCGAACACCACATTCTCCAGAACTGTTATAACAAAAACATAATAAACCCATCTCGTAAACCCTAAAACGTAGGCATTAAGCTATATATAGTCTGGATAATATTTACCAGTTCCGAACTTGATGGCATTAAAGATCTCAGGTTCTTTCTCTCTGGATAGATCGATACACTTGGCGTAGCAACCACCTTCGATGTTGGAAACACCCGTATCAGTCCAGCAATGCTCGTCGTCTCCGATCAAGTACCTGTTGTTATCCGTCGACAATGTCGTCTTTCCGGTACCTGCAGGTAACAAATTCGATCCATACATATAGATCGATCTCTCAGACAACAACAGAAGGGGCGGTTTGGGATAAAAGGGGGTACCAGAGAGGCCGAAGAAGAGGGCGACATCGCCATCTTTGCCCATGTTACAGCCAGAGTGAAGAGACAGAATCTGTCGCTTGGGCATCAAGTAATGCATGACACCGAACAGTCCCTTCTTCATCTCTCCGGCGTACTGAGTTCCGAGAATCACCATCTCTCTTCTGGCGAGATTGATATCAATGCTCGTCGAAGACGTCATGTAATGAGTGTAACGGTTACATGGAAACCTTCCGGCGTTGTAGATCGTGAAATCCGGCGTCCCGAAATCCGCCAGCTCCTCCGGCGTCGGGCGGATACACCTTTTTTCAGACAATAGATATACAGTTAATTGATCTACTGGTTATGTTCCATTATGTATGGAAGAGATGCAAGTGTGTCCGAACTTACATGTTGTGCATGAACAGAGAATGATAAGCTCTTGCGGAGACTATCCTGACTTTGATTTTGTTCTCTGGATCCCAGTTCAAGAACTGGTCGTTCACAAATACCTGGAAATTTCCATCCATTAATTGATCGACTGCTTTGATGCAAAATTTCAAATAAATACACAGATTTCTTACATATTTCTATATTGATAAATAAATTCTAATTTTTTTAAAAAAAACACAAATTCCATTAACACTGACTATTCCATTTGTTTTAGCTAAAAATCCATATCAATACACAAATTTGTTACAAACTACTATATTAGTACACAAATTTTGAAAATTTCTAAAAAATATGTATACGAATTTTTCCCAACCGATGAATTTACAAGTCACTTATTATTTTACATGTAGTTTTTGGAATCTCATAAAATTTCATGTATTTGTTGCCATTTCAGTGAGCCTATTATTTTCCTTCTTTATACTTAAAATCATTTTCATAAACAAATACGTAAATTGCACTTTTAACGTATTTAAATACTGCGTCAACAAAACTTTGGTCATTCAATAAGATCTATTGGTGGAAAGGTATATATAATATAAGTGCAAATCTCTAAGGGAGATTTTTTCTTTTGGTCCGTTATTCCAACATCCCTCATCCAAAAATAAATTATATCGTTGAAGGAAAATCCTAACTTTAGACATTTGGTTATGCATCACATCAAATTATTATTATTATTATTACGCAATTAATTTGGATTAATATGTTCATCAATAAATATCAACGAAAATTAAGGAAATCTACATTGGCCTGTAAAAGTGATCGACACGTGTCACCGAATCATTTCATTTCAAGACATTACCTAACCAAATTCTAATTCTATATACCTAACCCAACCCATCAGTTATGGCTGGGTCACATCAAATTATTATTATTATTATTACGCAATTAATTTGGATTAATATGTTCATCAATAAATATCAACGAAAATTAAGGAAATCTACATTGGCCTGTAAAAGTGATCGACACGTGTCACCGAATCATTTCATTTCAAGACATTACCTAACCAAATTCTAATTCTATATACCTAACCCAACCCATCAGTTATGGCTGGGCGATATATTCTGAATCTTCAATTATGCAATACGGGTACGGCCTTCAATTATTTATAGGTTTTTTAAATAATATATAGCCCTTTTTATAACGAAGATTCTCTTTTTTTCACCCTTTTTTTATGTTAAGCGATATTATTTTATTTTTAACAAAATTTTATCGAAGAAATATATCGCGGGAATTTGGAAAAAAAAATCATTATAGACGTCGGCTATGAAAAAGTATTTTTGTTATCATATTCGAGCTTAGATACACCAATTATAAATAACAACTTAGAACAATGGATTATACGAATTATTAGTATAGTTATACAATATATATATATATATATATATATATATATATATGAACATCTAGAAATTTTATTAGAATATTGCAGTAATATTTATTTCTGTTTTTTTTTAGTTTTCGAAGCAAAAAAAAAAAAAATCAAAGGGAACAAAACAAAATACTAAATAGTGCCTCAATCTGACACATTTTAATGATCATGATCATGTGTGCAGAGTGGACCTTCTTGGACATTAAAAAACTCTTCCCCCACCAAAAAAAAAATACGATTTATTAAAATCATTACAATTTGGAATTTGGTGCGCCGTTAGTATTTTTTTAGTATATAGTCACATGATTAATTAACTCTAACATTCTGTTTGGCTGTATAATAATTACATCTTATTTTTAAAAATCATAATCATTAGCAACTCTCGAGACGTATATAGTAGGACCTAGATTCTTTGACCGTCGAAAGTCTTTTGCATATATAAAATTCTTAATTTCAATCCGGACAATCATTTCCTTAGTTTGAAATGCTTCAATGCCTTTTTTTTCCTATTTATAAAAGATTTAATTCAATACAATTGCGATGAATAATAATATTACATATTTTTTTTTAATGAGGTACGACTTGGACTTTTTGAAAAATACAAAAAGAAGGAACAGACTAATCAATTTCATGTAGGGTTCGATCTCTGTGCACAAAAGGCCACACCCGTCGGGTACCGATTGTCGCTATTATGCGCCCGGGGTCCCTTTCCACTCCTCTCATTTCACCAATTTATTTTTATCATTCCGTACTAAATTAATACCGTATTTTAAATTAATCGTTCCCGAAAATAACAAAAAATAATCATACAGATTATAAACTAAAATCTGGCGTCTTCCAAACCGTGCAAGTCGCTGACCCGATTCATGTGCTTCCTCATCATAGCCACTTTCGCCAATTTCTCGGCGGCTCGCCCAGCCGACGTCGGCGGAATTTGCAAGCCGACGTCGGCGTAATTTGCTCCACCGCTTTTTCTTCGGTTTGAGCCACCGGATGGCTCCTCTGTCTCGACCCGGTTTGATCTTTGGTCCGAGCCACTGAACCAGCCCTGAGTCTCAACCGGTTCAACTCGGCAAGCTCAGCCTCCAAGCCACGCAGGCTATCTTCGACTGAGCCAGTATTAGCTTGCGACATTGTGGCTCCCGCCCCTGATAAGCTGCGGCCAAATCTTCCCGCTCAATTAACCGGCGAGATTCAGTCACAGCTCGTGATGCCGCGTGGAGATTTCTCAGCCGTTCGATGCTCGGGGACGATGATCGGACGGTCTGCGGCCGCGGGATCAGAAGACGCCGTTCCGCGGGGCAGATGGTCGGTCGGTGAGTTATGGGGTCAACGATAAAGGACCGTACGGACATGACGTGGTAGGACCCGCCCGACGAAGCAGGCACTTTGATTCAGTCACAGCTCGTGATGCCGCGTGGAGATTTCTCAGCCGTTCGATGCTCGGGGACGATGATCGGACGGTCTGCGGCCGCGGGATCAGAAGACGCCGTTCCGCGGGGCAGATGGTCGGTCGGTGAGTTATGGGGTCAACGATAAAGGACCGTACGGACATGACGTGGTAGGACCCGCCCGACGAAGCAGGCACTTTGATTTCCACGAGCAATTCCCTCTCCTCCTCCGCGAACAGGCCTCCGACCACCACCGAACCGGATCCGAATCTCTCGGGCCGACCCGACAGAGTGTACACCGACGTTATCTCCGAGGAACTCGATCCGGAGACCAGATCGAGCTGCAGCCTCACCTCCCTCATCGCTAAATTGAACAACCCCGCGATCCGCTCCGTGAACGCGTCTCGGAGTGGCGCGTGATCCAACGTACCGCCGGGTGCGACCCATACGGAATGGACGGGGATCTCCAGGTGAGAGAGGCGAGTGGTGGAGACGACGAAAGGCACTCGCTTTGAGCTCAGTTGGGCCTTGAGGACCGCCGGATTATCCTGACCGTCCGATAAGACGATGATGCTCGCCGTCGGATTCCTCTCCCGCCGATCTTCCACGACCTTCACCGCTTTCTTCACCGCGTCGTTCACGCTCATACCGGCTCCAGTGCCGGCGCCAGCACCTCCGGAGAGTACATCCACAATCCGCCGTGCCGTCCGGCGTCCTTCCGCCGTCATCCGCCGAAGCGGCAGGCACCCCCTCGATCCGAAGGCGCTCTTCGATCCAAAGGAGAAGACAACGATAGATAGCCGGTCCGTCTCCCGGAGGAGAGAGATCATCAGCCTCATCGCGTGCTTCACTGTCTGCAATCTCACCCCGCCGCTGAGATCGAGGACCGTAACCAAGTCCACCGCCGGCCTAGGATCCTCACGCGCTGCCGTGAGCGGCGGGGCCTTAACCTAACCTTCATTACGACGGCGTGCGTCTCGTATCTTCTCCCGGCGGCGACAACGGCAGATTCCGGCTGTAACTTAACCTCCAGATTCATCGAGATTGGAGGATCAACCAACTTGGAAGGCAAAGCAAACGTCGATGTATTCGCGAAGAACCCCGGAAATTCGTCGTCGTCTTCCACATCGATTTCGTCTGATTCCGGTATCGTATTGAACTGAGCGAGAGACACCGGCGAATAAGTCAACGGCTCATCGTCGTTGTAGACTCTCAGCGACTTCCCGGCCTTGACTTCTCGGATCTTGGACTCGGGTTCGGGTCTTCTATTCGGGTCGGGCCTGAAGCTACTGTGCGCATATGGGTTACGCGACGGCGCGTCGGTCCACGCGGTCGCACAGACCGGACAGCGTTTATCTCCGAGCCTGACGATGCAATGAAGGTGAAACGCGTGGGAACACTCCGCCGTAAAGATCGCCGAACCTTGACCCGATTTCATGCTCTGCAAACAAATCCCACATCTGCTACTACTACTCTGCGGTAAAAAAAACGAGGGAAAACAGTTACCCACACAAAAATCATCGATTAGAATCATGGGTTCCGACCAAAAGCGGGGAAAGATCGTTACTTTGTTGAGAAGAAGCGTGGCTCTGAGTAGAGATAGACCGGAGGAAGGAGATTTCGGGGAAGAAGGGTTAGAGAAACTGGAGAACAATCTAGGGCTAGTACTGGTGTTGTTCCTCGGAGTAGCATTGCTGATGGTTCTGCAATGGAGTTTAGGGCTACAGGGCAGAGACGAGGAAGGGATCGTGGCGACGGAGGTGGCCGTGTGGGACCGGCAGCCGAGGTCGGCGACGGGTACGGAATCGGACCGGAGGCGGGGCGTTGACGGGTTCGAGAAGAAACCGAACTTGGGTCGGAGCCTGGGGCTAGGATTAGCGGCTTGAGGGTCACGAGGTGATGTATGATCTCTGTCCACGGAGGTACAGAAAGCTCTTCTCCAACCGAACACCATCTCCTCTTCTGCAACTAATTATCTGAGAAAGGCCGAAGGGCGACGAGGACGAAGAAGAATTTGGGAATGGATCATAAGCACCAAGGAACAGGGAGAAAGAAACGGAAGGAGAGAGAGAGAGAGGATAAGTTTTTTTTTTCTTCTGATGATGATTTTTCTGTAATACAAAAAGGTCCCTCTCCTTGTATATCCTTTTCTTTCAGCCATATATATATATATAATTAAAAAAAATGTGAAAGCATTTGATTTTATTGTGCTTTCCATTTTGCATGTAAAGCGTAAACCCGTCCATAATTCCACCTCGGGAGCAACAAAAATTAAACACAGTTACGTAAAGAGATATAATTGTGCTTTCCATTTTGCATGTAAAGCGTAAACCCGTCCATAATTCCACCTCGGGAGCAACAAAAATTAAACACAGTTACGTAAAGTATCGTCTGTAGTTTCTCTATTTAAAACTTATTATGTGAAGGTGGTATTGTATCACGAAACAACCATTAAAACAAAGCCATTGTATTGTATGTATATAATATAATAAATTGCAATATTTTCAAGAAATTAATTAAATCAGAGATTTGATTGAGTTGCATTGGGATGGACGGTGTTAAAAAAAAAAATTACGCCTAGTAGTGAAAGCCTCCCTTCCTTTCTCTCGAAAGCCTCGCCTTTCTTTTCCCTTACTCTTTCTCTTTTTTTTTTTTTTTTTTTTTGGGGCATTGCATGAATCAATTTCATTTACGGTATATACTAACATCATTAAATAAAAAGACTCCGCTGCATCAATATTTTGATGGGTTTGGGAAATTTCAGGGAAATATTCATTTATATTTTTTTTTATCAATATTCAGAAACGGGAGTGTTAAAAAAATGCGGAGGAAAAACTAGGGCTGGGCCTTTCAGTTCAGTTCTTCGGAATTGGACCGAACCGAACCGAAAAACGATATTTTTTCAGACCCAAAACCGTTCTTAATTCCCAAACGGTACCATTTTTAGAGAACCGAATTTTTCCGGAACCGAACCGAACCAAACCGAATTTTAAAAATCCCGAAAAACTGAATATTTTTAAAAAAAATCTATCCTTTTTTTAATAAAACCCGAAATCAAACCGAACCGATACCAAAACTGAACCGAACCGAATACAATATAAGAACCGATTGGTACGTATTTTTGTAAAACCGAAAGAACCAAACCGATCTATTCTCATCCCGAACCTGAACCGTTTCCCCAAACACCCAACCCTAGAAAAAACCCACCACTCCATATGGTTTTATAAGTTTTGTTTTTATATCTTCCAAGTCATGTGTAATTAATTTAATTTTCTAAAAACAAAACTGAAAATATGGATGGCAACAGAAAGGGCGTCAGTGCCACGTGGCACGTGACGCTTGATCAAGATTCAAAAAGCAGAACGAGTCAATGCTTCCCTTCCTATCTATTTCCGAAATCAAAATCACATAACGACGCCGTATCTTGGGTCTTAGTTTCAGCCCAGCTGGCATCTGTTCGTACCTACCGAGGTACCTTCTGTTTCGTCCAGTATCTTTCAACCTTTGCTTCCGCCCTAAAATTTATAACCGACCACATCTATGTTTCTTGGATTTTAATTTTGACTTGTAATTATTAAATACATCAATATTAAATCATACCCCCCCCCCTTCGTTAGGGTAATGAGTTGGAGTTATTATAAGAAATCATATGGTAAGAGCATCGTGGTATTATATAATTCGTGCTCGAGAGCAGTGTACATGTCATGTTTGTTAATGATTTGCCCACGAGAGAATATGATTTTTTTACATTTACAAAAAAAAATCAATAATCGTAGGGTTAATGATAGGGCTATAACCATACGGACGGTCCATCAAATTGCCAAAGGGATGGTGGGTTTTGTTCGATTTTGACTTTTGATTATTTACTTTTTTTTAAAAAAAGAAAAGATCCGTTATACGTTTAAATTGTTTAATATCGAGATTCGATGAACCCACCACTATTCATATGGGCGATGATATAATAATGCTAATAGTATTCGATTAGTTATTAATATATTGGGGAAAGACAATCGAAACGAAGACTTTGCGAAATGTTTGGTGTTTTTAAGTGGATGCCATTTTCGGAGGGGCACATGCACGTCATGAAAGGGCTCATTTATATATCGCTTGAAGATATTTCAGATTTTGAAATTATCATTTGATAAATATGATATAATTTAACTTCTGATTATAGTTAAAAACTTTATAATTTAATTAGAGTGTTATATTTCAGTATGGCCTAAAATAACAATGACCTAAAACCCTAAAAAAAAAAGATAGGTTCCGTTGCTTAAAATATATTCGGTCGAATTAGGGATTTTTTATGACATTTGGAAAAAATAATAATAACGATTAGTTTATTATTCTCGAAACATGAAATTATTTGAAGATTGTGAGATATATAATACCCCCGCGGTATCATGAATTCTTGAAAGAAAATAGTGTCCTACACG